ATCCATCTAGTTAGTGGGAGGATGACTATAGTGGGCATCTTCCTTCATAAGAGGAGCAGTGATTTTTTTTTTTTTTTTTTGCTTACAGAATAAATATTTATTTTGGATATGGATTTACATTCCCTGATATTCTGCCAGCATCTGGGGACTTATAGAATGTCTTATTCTTTATCCTGGTAACTCACATAACATTGCTGCGAACCATGGAACACATTTGATAGCAAATAAGTGCAATAATGAGCCCATAAACATGGAATTCACTTCTTTTTTTTTTTTTTTTTTTTACCATGTACCCCATCATGTAGAAGTAGCTGATCTAACAGAAAGGTAAAGTTGTTTTTTAACAACTTATTTATTACACCAGTTAGGAGACTACCCCCTGTGAAGTTGGGGCTCTGACTACTTATAGGATAAGGTTTCACATAAACCAGCAACCAATACTGATGCTGTTTTTCTCATAACCAGAACTTAGGATCTAGGAATTAATGGAAGGAAATGAGAACAGATCCTCTTACAATCATCCACTTGCAGAATTTTTGCCTCCATTCCTGCAAGTAGAGGTCTTAGTTGCCTACGGAGGAATACTTTTACAGGGGACACAAAGAATAGTTTCTTTTAACTAGTTGCTACTGGCCACTTGGGTTCCTCAATCCACTAAACCAACAGGCAGAAAAAGAGGAGCTTACTATATTGGCTGGGTGATTGATACTGATTATCAAAAGTAGATATGATTGCTGTTATACCTTGAGGACAAAAAGAAATATGACTGGAATCCAGGGAATTATAAGGTGTTCCTCCTAGAAGTGTCTTGCCCATTAGTCAAAGTTAATGGAATTTTTGCAAGATGAAAAGAGTTCTGAAGATGGATGGTGGTGATGGTAGGACAATAGTGTGAAGGTACTTATGTGAATGCCACTGTACATTTAAAAATGGTTAAGATAGCAGGAGGGGAGGAATGAAGGGGAGTAAATCGGAGGGGGAGACGAACCATGAGAGACGATGCACTCTGAAAAACAAACTGAGGGTTCTAGAGGGGAGGGGGGTGGGGGGATTGGTTAGCCTGGTGATGGGTATTAAAGAGGGCACGTTCTGCGTGGAGCACTGGGTGTTATGCACAAACAATGAATCATGAAACACTTACATCAAAAACTAATGATGTAATGTATGGTGATTAACATAACAATAAAAAACTTAAAGTAAAAAAAAAAATGGTTAAGATAGGGGGGGCCTGGCTGGTTCAGTCAGTAGAACACCTGACTCTTGATCTCCGGGTCATGAGTTTGAGCCCCATGTTGGGTATAGAGATTATTTTTTAAAAATTTTTTTAAATGGTTAAGATTGTAAATTTTATGTTATGTGTGATACCACAATTTTAAAAAGCATTAATAGAAGACTACCACAACCCAATAAAAAAGCGTTCATAACTCTGATCCTTTAGGAATGATCATTTAGTATATCACACCAGTTAAAGAGCCCAAACAGCCAAGGTGCTAGATAAGGGAGAAGGAAACATTAAGTAGGTGATGGAGGAAGGATTCAGAAATATGTACTATGGCCTCCTGACCAGTTAAGAAAAGATTATTGTAGGGGCACCTGGGTGGCTCAGGTTGTTAAGCGACTGCCTTCGGCTCAGGTCATGATCCTGGAGTTCCCAGATCGAGTCCTGCATCGGGCTCCCTGCTCAGCGGGGAGTCTGCTTCTCCCTCTGACCCTCCCCCCTCTTGTGCTCTCTCTCATTCTCTCTCTCTAATATAAATAAATAAAATCCTAAAAGAAAAAAAAGAAAAGATTATTATAGCAAATATGCATATTTTCTTCCCTGTTTGTTGTGTGTGTGTAAACTGCTAGTGGTGAATGACTTTGCAACTTAGTTTTTAGGTTATAAAATATCCACTTGGCACGGTGACTGCTTTAGAAGAGAAAATAATATCATCCAGAAATGGATACAGTGACCCAATAGAAGGTGTCTCATCCCTTTATAGAAGAGGGTGAAAGTATCTTCGTGGGAGAGGAAAAGTTCCTTGTGGCTCAGTTGGTTAAGCGACTGCCTTCGGCTCGGGTCATGATCCTGGAGTCCCGGGATCAAGTCCCGCATCGGGCTCCAGCGGGGAGTCTGCTTCTCCCTCTGACCCTCCCCCCTCTCATGCTCTCTCTCTCATTCTCTCTCTCAAATAAATAAAATCTTTAAAAAAAATAAATAAAATAAAATGAAAGCATATTGTGGTTGCTCGTGTTGTAAGGAAATTAAATATGGAGAGAAAGAGGAGAGTAGATGTTGGGTTTCCAAGGGTTGGGTGGCACCAGTCATCTGCCTATTTGCTCTTGAACTTTATTCCTTTCCTCTGTGTTCTGCTAGGTATTATTAGGGACCCCCCCTAAGCTACACTTCCTAGACCACTTTCCATTTGGCTTCCAGTGAGATACTGCCAAGGGAGGGACTGGTGAGACTGGAAGGCCAGAACAGGGGAGAAGCAACGCTCTCATTTGTTTCTGACAGCTTGCTGGTGGCACCAGTGCAGCACCAGCATCCATGCTGGTGGAGGTTCCAGCCCTGATTGAGGCAGCACATCTACAGCAGGTCTAGAACTATAGCAACAACCTCTCTAAAAGCCCAGCAGTAGGGACATGCTTGTGGGCCCCAGTCCAGGAGTGTGGGGGCATCTGATCTCTGGGTATCAACCTTCTTCCTTCTTGCTCTTCCAGCCCTTCCACTGCCTATGTAACCAATTCCCTCTATTTATTGTTGCTAATATTTAGGTGGAATAAAGGTACTCTGATTGTTTTCAAGAGTCCTTATCTTTTAGAGGTATGCACTGGATTATTTACAGATGAAACTACATGAATCTGCTGTATTCATTTATGGCTGGATATGTCTGAGATTTTTCTGAAGAATAATTTAAAGTGGGGTGCCTGGGTGGCTCAGTCAGTTAAGCGTCGGCCTTCAGCTTAAGTCACGATCCCAGGGTCCTGGGATTGAGCCCCATGTTGGGCTCTCTGCTCAGCGGGGAGCCTGCTTCTCCCTCTCCCTCTGGCATTCACCCTGCTTGTGCTCTCTTGCTCGCTCTGTCAAATAAATAAAAGCTTAAAAAAAAAAAGAATAAGGTTGGGTGTGGGAGGGTATAGATGAAACAGGATTGGTTGTGACCTCAGAACTGTTAGGCAATAATCATTAGGTGATGGGTACATGGAAGTTCATTTTGCCATTGACTCTACTTCTATGTGTGCTTGAAATTTTCCATAATAAAATGCCAACCATTATCTTCCCATGAAAAACAATTAAATTCCCTCAATTGGCAATACCTCAAGTGGTTTTTATATTCCTGACTAGACCCTGACTGATGTGTGTCTGGTCATAGAGAAAGCCTGCCTAAGATGAAGCCAACACCAAGGGGAAAAAAAAAAGATGTGTGTACGTGCCTGAGAAAGCGAGTGAGAGAAAGACGAGACAGAGGTTACACGCATGCTCAAGAAATACATTGAGATGCACGTGGAGCCCTGACAACAGCCTGTGCACCTGCATCCAGCCATATGTGAATCCAGCGTTCACCTTAGGACTTCACAGGTACATGAGCCAATAAATACCCTTTTTTTTTCTTTAAAGACTTATTTATTTATTTTAGAGAGAGAGAAAGAGCACACATGCTAGTGGAGGGAGAGGCAGAGGGAGAGGGAGTGAATCCTCAAGCAGACTCCCCACTGAGTGCAGACCCCAATGTGGGCTTGATCCCATGACCCCAAGAGCATGACCTGAGCCAAAACCAAGAGTTGGATGCTCAACCGACTGAGCCACCCAGGTGCCCCATAAATTCCCTTTCTGGTTGAGCTAGTTTGAGTTGACTTCTGTCACTTGCAAACAAGAGGAGCCTAATGAAATCCCTAACATAATGATCATTACTATTATCCAAGCCCCTTGGGTAACTAACCAACCACTATCATCACTATAAACTCCAGCACATCTGCCATCATCACAACAAACATTATCACCATGACTTTCGCCTTCACCATCTCTAAATTGGCTAACATCCTTGAATATCTACATGCAAAAGCACTGGATCCTCATCCAGGTGCTTCAGATCAAAGATGACTAAGACAGAGCCTCTGCCCTCATAGTGCTCACAATCCTTTTGGGAGACTATATGTATATCATCAAATTATCTATTATTTACATATATGTACATATTTGTGAGACATAAGTCACAATAGAATATATAAACTTCTAAAGAGGGAAAACATTAAATTCAACAGATGCTTAGAGAAGGGAGGAAGAAGTATGGTCTAAAGCAGTCAGGGAAGGCTTCTGATAGGGAAAGGAGGAGGGTCTGAGCAGGCCCTTGGAATACATGCAGAATCCACATAAGAGGAGAATGTATTGGTCATAAGCATGGTCTTTGGAGTCAGATGGACCTCATTAAATTCTGACTCAGTCACTTATCACCAGTTATTTAACATATCCGTGCCTCATTTTCTCATCTATAAAACACGGATAATAACAGGACACCTCCTTCATAGGGCTGTTTTGAGGATTAAATGAGTTAATATGTATAACGTGCTGAGAACAGTGTCTGGCACATAGTAAGCACTATGTATATGGCATTAGCATTATTATACATTCTGGTCAGAAGGCATAGCCTGAACCAAGGTGCAGAAGGGGAACATACAAAGCTTAGTAGGTTTGTGAAGAGGAAGAGTCTGGCAAAAGCAATATCCACAATTTACCAATGATCAATCAGAGACAGGGAAAGTGACTTGCTAGATACCTGAGTGTCTCCTAATAGCATAGAAGAGTGTGAAGACACCCATCTGAGGCCTAATCATTCTTTGGGGCCCCACTCCCATGACTGCCTTTCCTAGGAGCTTCAGTAGGCAGCATTTTCCCTGCTTTGAGCACTCATAGACTGTCTTTATAGCACTTCTGAGCTGCTCTGGGCTATTTCCTTGCATACTTGCACCCAAAGGTTCATGAGGGAACAATGGGATGTATCCTAGGATGTAGAACTTACTGTTCTGTGACAGCCAAATTGGGTGGCAGGGAGGTGAGCCCATTGCCTGTGAGGAGCAGGACACGGAGGTGTGGCAGAATCCCCAGATCACAAATGGCCTCTGCAGTCAGGCTGTTGAAGGAAAGGTCCAGGAACTATGTACAAAGATAAAAGATGGGAGAACAGAAGCACTACACATGACAATGATGCTCAAACATGAGGTGGGAGCTAACTATTTTTTTTAACCTTCTAGGCAACCCCATCACTCATAAACCTAAAACCTTGACTCTCTCTGGATTAACATTCAAGGCCTACTATAGTCAGTTCCCGGCCTATTTGCTAGCTTTAGCTCCCACTGCAAATCTGATTTATCCTGTGGACCTGACCAAAGTGACTCCTTCCCCATTCCCTGCACCACCCCACCTAGAGATCTTTGCTTGAGCTTTTCACTCAACCAGGAGAGCTTTTCCCTTTCCATGTATCTGAATCTAAGCCCCAGAAGGCCAACTCAAAAGTTGCCTCCTTATAAAACTTTTCCTAATTCACCAACCAGATGGAATCTCTCTCTCCCCTGAATTTGAGAGCTTTTTCTAGGGAAAGTTTTCATGGTCAACCAGGTATCTGATAGGTAGATACACATCTGAGGAATAGGGATGTTGGTACATGGATGTGCCTAGCATAGTCTTGGCACACAGAGGTAAGCTAGACCATAAACTCCCTGGTCAAGGGCCATGCTACTGTATCACTATACCCTTGTAACCTAGCATAGGACCTGGTACATAGTAGGTGCATATAAAAAATCAGCTGAAATGAACTGGCTTATGAGAGCAATGACCGAAACTGTCACTATCAACCACTTTCTAACTGGCCACCTAGATTCATGAAATAGTTCACTGGGTCAGGGGCCAGTCAGGAAACTTGAGTTTCTGTCTGCAAAGACAAAGACACCTGGGATAAATGATATAAAACCCAATCTTTGTTCTTTCTCTTTTGGGCCTCTCTACACACTCACTTTAGCTCTTATGTATAAGTCTGCTTCCTTTCCTCCCCTTCTCTCCACACACAGTCATTGAAGCCTATTGAATGGGGGCATTTCAGCATCTTACCCAGCTGGTTGACCATATCAGTGTTACATAGTCAGACTATAACCAAGTGGCTCTAGGTCACTGCCAGAGGAGACGGAATTTGGTCTGACTCCACTGTAGTAATCAATTGATGGATTCTGTAGATCTGAGTTTAAATACTGTCCAAATGTGTGATTTGGGCAAATTACCTAACCTGAGCTTCTATAAAATAGAAATAATAATGAATTATTATGAGAAATTATGTAACATAGTAAGTGCTTAGTTAATGTTGGCTGTCATCATTATAACCATCTCTTCATTCAGAGATGTATGCTGAAGGCTTACGCTGTACCAGTCTGTCCTCTGTTAGCTCACAACCTAGCTGGTCAGCTACTAAGTAGCAATGCTGCTGGGATAGAGGTTTGAACACAGACCAATGGAAGCACAAAGAAAGGAACAGTCAGCTCTACCAGAGGATCCAGCAGGCTTCACAGAGCAGGTGACGCTTGAGCTGTCTTCAGAGACTAGTTGGTATTCAACAAATTGTTAAAGGCAAAAAGAGAGGCAGTGCAGTCGGGAGACAGGAGGTAGCCTACCTTGTTCTAAGAACTGCAAATAGCTTGGGTATGACTAGAGTCCGTGGTTTAACAGAGGGTTTGATAAGACTGGGCAGGCCATGAAAGGTGCCAAGCACCAAAGAAGTGCTGAGTTCATGCTGCCATCAGGAAATTCCAAGTTTTGAGAGTTCACACAAAGGGGTGATTCCACTTGGCAGGGGCAAAGAGAGAAGCCTTCAAGGAGGAAGACATAGAAAGCTGGCTCAGATAATCGTAGATAAAGGTGGGAAAATCCTCTCCCTCATACCCATATGTGGGCAGTCAATAAGACCTATGGATTCTGTCTCCTTAATATCTCTCATTCTGTTCCCTCCAACTCATGATTCATGCAGTGGCCATACCTATCATCCACTGGATACTTCAAACTCCTTAGTGAGGCCTCCAAGGCTTCCTACAGTCTCTCTTCTGCTACCTCTCCAGGCTCATCTATCACTACTCTACTGTGTTTCACTTTCCAGGCCAACCACACTGAGCTGTTTCATCAGTGTGCTAGCTTGGGAGCTGGTAAACTAACACCTCTCAGCCATTTCCATCCTGCTGCCTGTTTTGTACGGCCCGTGGGCTAAGAATAATTTTTGCACTTTTAAATGGTTGAAAAAAGATCAAATGAAGACTGCTGTGTGAAAATTATGTGAAATTCAAATTTCAGCATCATAAAGTTTTATTGGAACACGACCATGCTCATTTTTTTATGTAGTATTTATGGCTGCTTTCCTTCTATAACAGCAGAGTTGACTAGTTATGACAGTTGTGACTAGTTGTATGGTCTGTATGACCATACAGACCCCAAAGCTTAAAATATTCACTTTACAGAAGAAGTTTGCTGACTCTTGTCCTCACTGATTTGGCTACTTAATGTTGGGGCCAATTTTGCTCTCCACAGAATTAAGGGCAGCTCAAAGAAATGAATAGTCTTAGAATCACAGGTCACAGAACTTCAGAGCTGACCCAGAATTTGAAGAGGGGTATACTTAAGTCCCAGAGAAGGGAAGTGATTTGGCCAAGGAGCTATGTCAAAATAGTGGCAGAACCAAGACAAGAAACAAGGTCTTCTAACTCTCAGGGCAGGGTTCCAGCCGAGCCTTTTTCAGACCGGTATGCAGAAAATCAAATCATGGCAAAGTTAAGTTTTCCTAAATTGACTGCTGAAGAATTCTGCTCCTTGGGTGGCAGCCTTTCTGGCAAACAAGAACAGAAGATTCCTAACCTACTGCATCTGCTGAGTCATATCAAGTTTTATTATACATCAAAGTATTCATTACTGTGAACTGCAAATTCAGGATTTTTGACAGTTTTATGCTTTTTCTTAGAGAGACCTTGTAAATCACAGAGATAGAAACCAATGATTAGCCAAGAGATTTCCTCTTCTCATTTATATTCAGCATCTTGACTTTGGTCTGCTCTCTTATGTAAATAAATTCCCCTGGGTAAGGCTGGATCTGCCTGATAAATAATCTTTATCAGAAGCTATCAAACTGGGCGCCTGGGTGGCTCAGTCATTAAGCATCTGCTTTCGGCTCAGGTCATGATCCCAGGGTCCTGGGATCGAGTCCCACATCGGGCTCCCTGCTCGGCGGGAGGCCTGCTTCTCCCTCTCCCACTCCCCCTGCTTGTATTCCTGTTCTCACCGTCTCTCTCTGTCAAATAAATAAATAAAATCTTTAAAAAAAAAAAAGAAAATCTCCTTTAAAAAAAAAAAAGAAGCTATCAAACTAAGAAGTAGGGCATCTAAGTCAATCATGATCAATCAGCAGATCCAAGCTAGTCAGCTGTGGGGTCAGAGTCATGTCCCCTCCCCAGGGCCCACGGACACTTGAAATCGGGATTTCAAATAGTACTGGTGAGGAAGACAAGATGCCTGGCACAATGCATGACAATGCATAACACAAATAACTACTTTTTTAAAAAGTAAAATAACAAAAAAATGGAAGTTCATAAGAAGCTCCCAGGCCTGCAGGTAAAGGAAATGACTACCTGTATCTCTAGCATCTGGAATCTGTTTCCCACTGTTTATATTAAAATCTAGCATACAAATTTTTTTTAACATAGCAAATTTTAGTATATGTGCTGCCGAAGCGAGCACTTAACATAGCAAAAAATTACACCAGCTGTTGTCAGTTTATACTCTATTTTATTGGACTTTCAAGGGCTCTGCTTATTGGACAAATCTGAGGACAACTCCTGTTCCAAATCATAGTAAATCACCCCTATCCTCAATATGACTTGAAACCACGGAGAGAAGTTACCATTACATCTAGGATATCATGTTTTAAGAACAAAAGGACATATAATCCATTTTAGAAGATTGCCACCCCAAGCAGTTAAAGCTTTTTAAAACTTTGGCATACAAAGGCCATCAAGTCTGAAAGATTCATTCTTGTGGAAGAACGCTCTCTCTCTCTGGCAAGACTAAGTTAAGTGAGGCTTTTGTGAAGAGTGGCTGACCCTTGATGCCCTTGATGTTGGCAGATAAATAATTTAAGTTACCAACTCTTTGGGGTCAACCCCAAGGCTTATGACGCACAGACATTCTGCTGAATGTTTGAATCCAAAACACTTGTTCTATAAGGCCAACACCTGGGGAAGAGCCCCTTACTCAGTGAATGAGCCTGGCCAGATGCCCGGCCCCACAACCTTGCTCCAACTCTAATCTCCACGCATGCACTGCCTTTCAGGGAGTGGCAAAAGCTTTGCTGCTTTGTGAAAAATGGCCCTAAAGTTTTCATGGAAGTTGAAGAGGTGATTAACTTGAAGTATGAGAAGATGCATAGAAAATGCATCACTATAGGAAACTTAACTTAGGAGAAAGCCAAGAATGCAAACAAATTTTTCTGTATTTTTGAATCTGGGGTTTGGAGAACAGCTATGGATGTACAAATGTCAGGAGTGTGCTATAGAACACATAGGATTCCTATCTTATTTCACAGTCACCTCTGGGCCTATAGACTAGGCCTTTAGCCTCCCTTACCTGAGCCCACTGGAGCCAATCTGGCTCATTTGGACCACGATGGGTCTCTGGCATCAGTCCATAATGCCTCTAGTTCAGCTGGTCTGATCTGCTGTGCCTCGCACTTAACCTCCAAGGCTCCTCAACCCCCGCTGGATCCAGATCTCCCCTCAAACTCTCCTTCCTAAAGTACTCTGTTTAAACTCAATTTTCTGCACAGACTCCTTTGGCATGATGTTTGGCATTTATTCTCCAGGACCATGCACAATGGCCATAGGTATGATACAGTCTCACCTATTTGCCACTGCTGCTACTCACAACCACTACCCTCATCATCACCACCAACCCCACGACCCTCTGCAGAGGGCTGCTGTGTAGCAGGAGTCTGGCTGTAAAGGCCCAGAGAGTTCCCTCCCAACAGTTATAATCAGTAGAGACCTCTATACCCATTCTTTACAGGGAAACAGGTGGGCACCAAAAACTCCCTACCTCCAACTTACTTCCAAGAACTTAAAGTCTCCATATTTCACATAGACTGTTTTGATTCCATTAAATGCAAGCTCCAGTTCCTTTAAGGTTGGAAATGTATGAAATGCCTCTACAGGAGAGGAGAAAGAGAGAATCAGCTACTTGTGAAGGATGTAAGAGAAAGATGTTAACGGTGGTCATTTACTGGGTTCCCACTGGGTTAGGCCAAGCTATGGTCAGATGCTTTGTACACATGGCCTCTAAATCTCTAACAACCCTGAACAATAGGGATTACTACTCTCATTCTACTGCTGAGGAAATTGAAGCCCGGCTAGGATAAGTGATTTGCTAGAAATGGAATTGCTGGGAAGTGAAAGAGCCAAGAATTGAATCTATGTCTAACTCCAAAGCCCATTTAAAAATTATCTTTGTTATTCCTTATTATAAAAGTAAAACATGCCTACCAAAAAAAGTTAAAAAATACAGAAAAACGAAAGTTCCCTTTAATCTCAACACCCAGACATAACCATTGAAAACTTTATGTATAATACTCCAGAATTCTTCTCATGTATACAGTGAAACACACACACATCTTTTTACACAAATGGAATCACACCATACATATCGTACTGTGATTTGCCTTTTTCCCTTAACAATATGACTTAAAGATTGTTCCATGTCGGGGTGCCTGGGGGGTGCAGTTGGTTGAGTGTCTAACTCTTGGTTTCGGCTCAAGTTGTAATCTTAGGATTTTGAGATTGAGCACAGGTTGAGCCCCGCTTTGAGCCCCACTTTGAACCCTGCTTTGAACCCTGTATCAAGCCCTGCATCAGGCTCCACGCTAAGTGCAGAGTCTGCTTGACTCTGCTCTCCCTCTCCCTCTGTCCCTCCCCACCTCCACCCTGTGCTTCCTCTGTCTCTCTCAAATAAATAAATAAATCTAAAAAAAAGCTTGTTCCATGTCAAAACATAAGGATCTGCATAATGTCTGAGTTATGTTCTATATTATAGACATACCCTAATTTATTTAACCATTCCCCTATTGATAGCCTTTGGGCTATCTGGATAAAAAGTAAGAACACTTCTCTTCTGCATGAGAATTGGACTTTGGGTTAACTTTCTAGCCCCTTTCCCTGGTAATCTGAAACAGACGGTATGGTACCATAGTTAGGCAACATTATTATGGTAAAAATGATGCCAGACTGGCAAGTCACATCTGGACTAGGAGAAACTCTAAATGAACTACAAACATCTGAAGGGGTGCCATAACTTTGGGCTTCCCTGTGTGTGGTGACTCCCATAATTAGTCATGTCCTTTGCCGGGACTCTGGGAGCTATGTCTATGGAGTGTTACAATAGCTATTTGCTTCTGTGGGGAATGAGGCTTCTAAGCCAGAGTGGCTCCTACATCTACTGAAGGACAGTCTTACTGTCTTGGACCTGAGCAGGGGGCTGCAGAGAATGGCCCACAAACGGCTGCATGGACTGCTGCTACAGGCACTGCTGTGAGGACTCCTCTGAAGAGAAACTGCAGATGTTGTGCTGCAGGTATACTGTGTGGAATGACAGAGCTTTCTGGTGTCAAGTGGGGCCTATGGTGGTCTTGGGAGTCAGAATGTTCAGTAGAGCCCATGAAACAGACTGTTTGGTAGGTATTTCAGGATGTTTCCAATGAACGTCCTCATACAAGTGTGTTTTTGTAGAATCAATTCCTGAAAGGGAAACTACTAGATTAAAGGCAATGACTATTTTAACAGACATTGCCAAACTGTCTTCCAAAGACGTTGCATCAATTTATTACACTTCTGCCAGTTGAATGTGAGAACATCCGTTTCCCCATCAATGCTGGCTGTCATCAATCGGTCCTTCTCACGTTTGCCAGTATTTCACAGCAAAAAATAGGATTTTGATGCTGTTTTAATTATTAGTGAGGTTGAACATCTTTTCACATGCCTATTGGCCTTTGTATTTCAAGCCCACCTTCCTGACAGACTGTACTGTTTCCTCAAGGGCAGGGACTGTGTCACAAGCTTCTTTAAAAACACCCCTCAACCTCAACCACTAAAAACTGAACTCATCTTATTTCTCCCCAAACTCTAGTGCTCTCTGTTTTCAGTGAACCCCCTTGGCTCCATCAGCTACCAAGTCCTGTTATTTCTACCTCCTCCTGAATCTCTCTTGCAATGACCCTCACCCCTACTGCCTGGCACAGGCTTCCCTACCCCGCCCCTGGGAAAAATGAAATCATCTCCCAGGTTTCCTGGTCCCCAACTTCTTCTCTTATCATTCACCTTCCTCATGGGCCCCACTGAAATTCTCTACTTAAAAGCCTTTCAAGGCTCTCTTTTGCCTGCAGGATTAGTGACAAGTCAGGGCCCTTGATACTCTAGTCCCTGCCAGCCTTTCTGGTCTCCATTTTCCCCTATTCACATCCCATGCAAACATACAGAGCCTCTTCAGTGTCCTGATCAGGCACTGCTGTCCCACATCTGCTCCGCTGGACTGAAATACCTTCTAATTCCTGTTCATTTTTTCGGTCTCAGCTAGGTGTCCCTCTCCTCAGAAGTTTCTCCTGACACTCTGGTCTGGGTTGGTGTCCCACTTATATGCTTGCATAGCATTTTCTGATTCCCTCTATCACTGCACTTACCATATCCTGCTATAATTGTCTGTGTCTGAACCCATCTTTCCCACCAAACTATGAGCTCACCAAAACAGGCACTGATGCGTTTCTAAAAGCCAAGCATGCACATAGTCCTGACACCCAGCAGGGGTCGCTGTGGACTTGCTGAATAAACGAGAAGCCTTTATGCTCCTGTAGGAGTTGTTACAGGCTTAAAAACAATTTCATATACCTCTCTCATCTCAGCCTACTAGGCATCCTGCCTTGGGGAGGAAGAAAGGAAGGGAACTGTCTCCATTTACAGACAGAGAAGCAGCATCTCAGAGAGAAGCACTCTAAGTAGGTAGTGCCAGCTCTGGGCCGAAATCCTGGGCTGGGCGTTCTCCGGCACCCAGCCTACGGCACTCTAAAAAAGAGATGAGCAGCCAGTCATGAATGGACTGACAGGCAAGTTCTAACAGGAGTGACTGGCTGTGCTGGCTGAGAAGCTTACCTAGAGGAAGCAGGTTTTCTGAGGCATTGATGTAAATCACCGAATGAAAATGCTTGAAGTCCTTTTCCTTAGCCTGTGGGAAAGCATTTCAAAAGAACACAAGATTAGTGCCCTGCCCGGAGGCCTTGCCAAAGCTCCAGAGCTGCTGTCAGAAGGCACAAAGACCTACAGGGATAAGCTATATTCTTAGCAAAGTACACCCACTTGCTAAGGGCCAGAATGGCTTTTCTGCTGCTTTTTTTCTATTATGAAATAGTTCAAATGTACAGAAAAGTTTAGTGAACGATACTCTGAAGACCCACGTAACCACTGTCCACCTTTATATGAAGATTTTGCTGTCTCCGCTTCAAATTTCCTTAAAAAAATAAAATACTAAAGAGTTGACCACGCCCCCCCATCCCCACAATCTTCCCCAATTGTATTCTTTTCCCCCTTTCACAGATAACAGCTATCTTGAACTGGTGATTATCATTCTCATACTTGTTTTATACCTGTATTCTATATATGTGTATCTATAAACTATATATAATATTATTTGTAAGTTTTAAAACTCTATATTAGATGCAATCATACTGTGTCATTCTGCAACCTGCCTTTTCCACTCAACACTATGTTTTTGAGATTTACTTGTGTTGATACACCTAGATCTTTTGAGATTTACTTATGTTACTTGTGGTACTGATTTATTTAATTGCCGTATATTTTATACCACCAATCTCTCTTCATATGCCATGGAAGGCCAAAAACCAAAAACATATGGCATAATATCCTGCATATATATTCGCTAATGGGGGGGCCACAAATGTGGCTCACGCTACCTATTAGCCAATGTAAAAAAGAAACATGACTCATTACATGAGTCACCCAGTGTGTATAAGAACAAACCAGCATCTTGGGAGAACCATTACCACTCCTGACACTGAAACTTGAGAGAAATTTCTCCTATAGGCTCTTCTAATGGGAACTCAGTGTCACCCCAGCAGAAGTCTATGACAAATTCAAACCAACTCCCATAGTGCTACTTCCTTTAATTCACCTCACATGAACCAATGGCAATAGCAAATTCACAGCAAAATATTGTGTCTGCATGTTGTTTCTACCCAGTGAAGCTTTGTCTAACGCCCCCCACCCCATCCCCCCAGTCCTCAGGGACTCTGGAGGTACAATGGACAAACAGCCAGGAGCCACCTCAGGTCTGGCTCATCCCAATCACATCTCTGCTGGCTGGCCCTACCTTGGAGAACTTCAGGCCGCTCACATTAATGTTGACCAGGTCTGATGGCTTCCTCACACAATGGTGCTTCAGCTGGAACACAGTGCAGAGAGTCAGGTCTCAAGGCCCCAAGAAAGTTTATATAATTGGCCAAGACAACAAATGACTCCCTGTTGAGAAAGGGGGCCTAGTACAGCGCAAAGAGCATGGGCTTTGGGAGTCGCTCAGAATAGAGCTGCCACCTCAGCTCTTCCACCTCTCAGCTTCCCGGCTGCACGATGGGGATAGTAACACTGACTTGACAGGGTTCGTAGAAGGATTCCTTCCTCTCTGTTCCTTCTCTGTCTTTTCTGAGCCCTGCTTCTTCTAACTGGCTCTTTAAAAAATCTGTATTTCTGGAGCCTTACCAATCTCTTCATGTTTATAATAATTTGCTTGTTCATTTGTTTGTTCTTTTTTTATTCACTAAATATTTACTAAGTATTGCTTTGGGCCATGTATTGTGCTAAATACATCAATACATTTTCTTCTAATCCTAACTAAACCCTTTAACATAAGTATGATCATTTTTCCTTTTTAAATGAGAAAAATAAGGTTAAGAGAGATAAAGTGCCTTGCTGAAGTTCCCACAGCTAGTAAGTGATAGATGATTTGAATCCAAATGTGTTATCATTAAACTCTGTGCTCTTTTTGACTACCATATGTTGCCCCTCATAAGTAAAAAGTTAAAGGAACACTCAGTGTTGGAGCTTCTATTTCTGTTTAACCAAACCTCATTCTTTTTTTTCTGTTAATCATTTATTTATGGTATCATGTTTAGGCATGGAATTAGGTGTTTATTATATTCTATTCATAGAACTTACAACAACATGGAAGCCAAGTAGGAAACAAGTATTTATAAATGTGATAAATATTTTTTACAGACTTATTATTTATTTTTAAGTAATCTCTACACCCAATGTGGGGCTTGAACTCATAACCCCGAGATCAAGAGTCGGATGCTCTACCAACTGAGCCAGCCAGGCACCCCTAAATGTGATAAATATTTTAAAGGAGAAATTCAAGAAGATATGGGAGACAATAACAGGAGGTCCTAACCTCATTCGGGAGGAGAGGAAATACTTAGTTGAGGAACTAATATTTCAGGTGAGACCCAAAAGCTAAGTAGGAGTTGGTCCCATGAAAGTGGGTGGCAGGCAGTGAAAGCTATCAAGACAGGTAAAAGCCAGGTGCTTTTGAGAGGGTGAAAAACAACAAGGCCGGGAGGCAGCCACTAAATCACCTAGGTCCCTACTGGCTATGTAAAGGAGTATGGATTTTGTTCTACAGTCAGTGGAAAACTAACAGACTTTTTTTTTTTTTTTTTGGCAAGAGTTGATAGCAATTTTATAAAAATTGCTTTGTCTGATATACATAGAAAGGATGAGAAGAGACCAATACACCAGACATTGTTAATTACCTTCTCTAGAGCAACTTCTCTACTACTTCCTTATTAAAGAACCCCAACGTTATTCCATTTTTCTGAGTGGATGTGTCCTTAGACCCCAGCTCCAAGGGATAAGTCCTGACAGTCTAATCCAATCTTGGAGGTTATGTTCCCCTAACTAATGACTGTTGGAACATATGATATAGGTCTGGCCAATCAGACAGATACCGGCTGCTGGGGGTAAGAGGCCAGTTCTGGGGAGCTCTTTCTTACTTTTAAAAATAGACATAAGACAGTGACAATCCCTTTTGTACCTTTGGATATTATCCTTTATATGTGATGACCGGAGTTGCTGCAGCCATCTTGGGATCAGGAAGGCAATTAGCCCAAGAAGACAAGTTATCATGCTACGCACATAGAGCAGAAAGATGAAGGAACCTAGGCCTTTAACAGTAAATTAACCTACCCTGGAAAAACAATGCCTCTGGCTTCTTTTTACATGAAATAAAAGCATCCTAGTTGGTTTAGACTAGTTAGGAAGTTACTGAATTACTCTAATAAAAGATGATGGTGGCCCAGAATAGGATAGAGGCAGTGGAGATGAGGAAAAGAATACAGATTTGACAACTATTTAATAAAAGTGCCAGGGCTTGGTAGTGTCAGTAGTTGGGTGGTGAGGGAGAGACAAGTGTCAAGGATAACCCCAGATTACTGGCCTGGTGACTGGATATAGCACCATCACTGAGGCAGTATAGTAAACACTAGAAAAGAGGTATGTCTTGGGACTTGGAGTAAGGGGATTGGTGCAGTAGTTCACTAGGAGGTGCCAATAAAACATTCAAGTGGAACTATGCAGCAGGTAAGCAGGTATCCCATTACTGTGAGAAACACTCTTGTTGCTTCTGGTATACAAAGCCACACGTGGGTGACAAACCATCTCCGTTAATGTGGGCATGTATATGTTGTAGGAAACAAAAGGGAAAAGAAGAACTACTATGGTAAGTGTTTTCTGCCCTTCCTTAATACTGTTGTTTCAGTCCTCCGCACCCCAGTGAGAAGTGGACATTACAACAAAGGACACACCATGGGACTCTGCAAAAAGCTTACACTACCCACTTGAAGTGAGTTGCAACCTCAAAGCTGCCTTCTCAAAGCTCTCCTTCAACGTCTGATCTGTGTAGAAAGCCACCTCTTGGGAACCATAAGCAGAGTCTGGGAACAAAGCAGGATGCCAGAGAGTTCTTCATAGGGAGCTATGCGAACTGGACTGGACATTAATATGAATTTACAAAATATGTCTTTCTTTGCCAAGCCACCGAGGCATTGAAAAGAGCAGATGTGAAATTACCTGGCTGGTCTCCAATATAGCCACCCCAGTCTTCTTTGTGAAGCCTGCCCCAGACACTGGGTACTATCTGATCGGCTCCCCCAGACTTTAGCCAGATACTAAAACCAAAGGACAAAGGTTGTGGAGTGTAGAATCTCCCTAGTTCCCCCATTCCTGGAAAAATCTCCCCAGAGGAGAACAGGAATCTCTACCCCCTACCAGGTGCAGGAATGGAATTTTCACTTTATTGTTCCCTGGACCTACTCCTTTGCTTCTCCAGCTCAATTAAAAGTTTTTTACCTGATATACTAAAAGGCACAGGCTTTGGAGTCAGTAGACCAGAGTTCTCATCCTGAGTAGTTCTAATCCTGAATAGACAGAATTCTAATTATTAGCTGTGGGACCATGGCCAAGGCAAATTACCTCTTCGGGGCCTCAGTTTTCCCATCTTCACAATGGCAACAACATAATAGGGACAATAATACCTATCTCACAAGGTGGATGTAAAGAAAGCTTTGGGTCCCTTCATCACTCTGTGGTCAATTAGCCAAGATCACTCCAATAGTTTGGGGGTGGGTTGGGGGTCATGGTATCAGAGTGGAACAGAGCAAGTCCTTGTCCCCAACCAAGACAGTCATCAGCTGATTCTGCCAGCCATTCTAGGATACATTTACTCTCACCAGAAAAGCCCGGTCCAGCACATGTCCAGGAATGCCCTCTTGGTTTTCCTGTTGAAACCCTTTCTTCCCCCGGACCTCAGAAGAAACCTTCTTCTGGCTTTCCTGACCCTCAGCTGGTTCCTCAAACACACTCTTGGGCTTCTTCTTGAGGTTACATTTCCGAGCCACTAACCAGTGTCCTCGGCCTGTTGAGAAGATCAGAACAGTGAGGAGGAGCAAACCCCTCTAAAGCTGCAACTTGTGTGCTTACAGAATATTTACCTATAATACCAAAACCAAAAATAGCTCATTACCTGATATGCACGAGATACTGTTCTGCTGCTGCAGCTGCAGCTGCTGCTGGTGGGGTGGGGGGTGTCTGCATAGCTCTCTCCCTTAATTGGCCCCAAACCCCAGTGAAGGACGTGTTACTGTCCCCATTTTACAGATGAAAAGGCTAAGACTCAAAGAGGTGGAATGACTTGCCCAATTCTCTCCTCCACACTTTTGTCTCCAAACGCTAATGTTCCTTCAAGACCCCAAATCAAGTATTTCCTATTCTGCCTTTTCTGACTCTCCTCAGCAGAGCTGATTATTCTTTCCTATTCGGCTCACTACTCTCCCATTTGTCATCTCTTGGCATCTAAATGAGTGGCATCAACTCAACGGGCTCCATCTTGCTAGACCTTATCCTGGATCCCATCACTATAGCATAAAGGTTGTATTAGGAGCTCAATAAGAGAATGATAGGACAGTTGGAACTTTTAAAAAATCCAATACATGTTCACTGTAGAAAGAACTTGAAAATTTATGTGAGCAAAAAAGAATATGAGGTTTACTAGTAAGCTCACCTAACAAGAATCATGACATATTCTAGAATCTGTTCACTCCTGCATCATTTTTTTTATTCCAAGGCATTCATTGCAATCTGTAATTATTTTGTTTGTTCACTTGTTTATTGTCTTGCCCCTCAGAGCAGATTTTGTCCGACTGATCCACCTCAGTATTCCCAAGGCCTCACAGAGCTTACCATATTGTGCGCATTTTCTGAGCATCTACATTGTGCTAGGAACTAGGGCTGTGGGGATGAATTAAGATGGAGGCCCTGACTCAAAGGAGCCTAATAATAGAAGAGGTGCTGTGAAAGCACAGAAAGGGGAGCTACCAGCCTAGGGCACGAGCTAGATCCAGTAAGTTTAAGGTAGACTAGATGGAGATGGAAAAAATAGGCAGCCTTGGCAGAGGGAAGAGAACCAGAAGTATCCAGAAGCATAAAATATCAGAACGATACAGAACAGCACAGAGTTGTTGGAGCCAGCTCGGTGCCTCTGATCATTGGCTCCTTGCCCTCATAGCCCACTACCTCTGCCTCGGGGGCTTGCCCTGGCTCACCTGACCACAGCTGCCAATCCTTACTCCTGGATGCAACTCCCACCCTATGTCTGCTGTGAGTCATTTCCCATTCCCACTCTGGGCCTGAGATTCCAGACACTCCATTTCCCAGCGTTGCCCCCATCTGGGTCATGGACCTTTGTTCTATTCCAATAGCCCTGACTCCTGGAGACTCCAGTGTGAGCTGGTGCCCAAACTCCCAACAAGTTGAGAAAGTAAGGCCTCGACTGTTGTCTGGAGATGAACGTGAGGGAAAAGAGATGAGGCTGGGGAGGTCAGAAGAGTCAGATCAGAAAAAGTCTACAGGACCAGAACAAGGACCTTGAGTTTACTGGGGTAGGCTTTTAGCACAAAGAGTATCCATCGGAATGTTTTCTCCCCCATAATTTTTCATTTTGAGGTAAGTTTAGACTTCCAGAAAAGTTGTGAAAATAATACTGAGTTCCTGTACAGCTTTCACCCAGTTCCCCTAATGCTAACATCTTTTATTATAAATTTTTAAAAATTTAAATTAATTAACATATAGTGTATCACCCAGTTACCCCGTCCTCCCACCTCCCTCCCAATATTAATATCTTATATAATCATAATATGATTTAAGGTGGTAAGTTAACACTGGTCCACTATTAGTAACTAATCCATAGCCCTTTGAATTTTGCTAGTTTTCTCATTGATGTCCCTTTTCTGTTCCAGGGGGATCTCACATTTTATTTAGTTGTCATGTCTTAGAATCCCCCAATCTGTGACAGTTCTTCAGTCTTCCTTTTTTTCTCGTGTGATCTTGACACTTTTGAAGAGTACTGGTCAATTATTTTATAGAAAGTCCCTCAATCTGAATTTGTTTGATGTTTTCCCATAATTAGATTAAGCCTCTGTGCTTTGGCAAAACTATCAAAGAACTGATGCGGTGCCCTTGTCAGCGCATCCTATCAGATAGCAGGTGATGTCGGTATGTCTGATGATTGGTGATGTTAACTTTGATCACGTGGTTAAGGTGGTGTCGGCCTACTTTCTCTACTGAAAAGTCACTTTTTCCCTTTGTAATTAATAGATACTTTAAGACTATGCAAATATCCTCTTTCTCATCATACTTTGACCCACTAATTCTAGCATCTGTGATGGTTAATTTTATGTGTCAACTTGGCTAGGCTGTGGTAAGCAGTTACTCAATCCAACACTAATCTAGGTGTTGCTGTGAAGGTATTTTATAGATATGGTTAACATCTGCAATCAGTTGATTTTAGGTAAAGGAGACTATCCTCAATTATGTGTACAGGCCTCACCCAATCAGTTGAAAAAACTTAAAAGCAAAAACTGAGGTTTCTCAAAGGAGGAAAAAATTTTGCCTTAAGACTACAGTACCAGCTGTTTCCTGAGTTCTCAGCCTACCTGCCCTATAGATTTGTCTTGCCAGCCCCCATAATTTCATAAGCCAATTCCTTAAAACAGATAATGTGTGTGTGTGTACACACATATGAATATGGAAACAGAATGAGTAGGATATAAATACATATCCTATTGGTTCTATTTTGCTGGAGAAGCCTGATACATCTACAGAAGCTTCTTACCTGTAAAAATTATTATTGTGATGCTTTAACGGTGATTTTCTATTTCCTTCATTCCTTCTACATTTATTAACTGAAATTCTACTGTAGGAAGAGTTGTTCCTTCTCCTACACTTATTTACATATTCAAATATTTATTTGTATCAATATGGGCTCACGGATACTTATTTATTGTATAATTTACAACCCAATTCTACCTTTATTTATTTTGTTGTTTAGGTTGTCCCAGCTTTGGCCATAGGGAGCTCCTTCAGGTTAGCTCCTATGTCCTTCTGATATGCACTCATCATTTTTCTGAGCACTTCTGTACTTCCTGTCACTATACGATGTTCCAGGTGCAATTTGTATTCTTCTGGCCTCAAACCTGGAAACAACTATTTCTCTGAGGAGCCCTGGCTCTTTTTATTGGAGAATTGTATCCAGAAACCAAAATCTAGGGACCAGGTATGCTATTTGTGAATGAGGTGTCATTGCACTCAGTGGACTAGGAAATATACATATATATACTAACACATGCAGGTGCACATGGCTGTATTTATTTCTGTTGTCCATCTGTGTGTGTAAGGGGGCGTGGGTATGAAATCATGAGTTCCTACTGAGAGCTCCACGGTAGGGTTTAAACAGGTGGGGAGGACAGACTGGAGGAGAAAGTTCTTCCAATATTCCACAGAGTAACCAGCAAGTCATTTCATCTAGAGTAAACAAGGGGTACTTCCCACTTGCTCTACCCTTTCAAATCAACAAATCTAATCCAGTGAACTCATACTTCTCGGCAGCGTTCCATCTGTAGAGCTCTGCTCAGTGTTGTGAGAAGTCCCTGCCCCAAGGGAGTTTTTAACTAGATGAATGTTTGAAAAACTATTTAGCAGAGTCATTTTATTTAGCCATTTTATTTAGGATCCTGCAGAATATGATTACTCAACAAATAATAAACAGAGAGAGGAAGACAGCTCACAAAAGAGTATGGTCACTGAGGGCTGGAGGAGCTAGACAGGGCTTATTGGAAAAAGAGCTGGGCTTTGTGGCATGGAAAGAGTTTGGATAACCAGAATGATAGCCGGAATATTCTGGGCAAATAAAACAAGCTATGTGAAAAGAAAGTACTATGGAATAGGGCATAGGTGAAGGAATGGGGTTGTGGCAAAGAATAAGGGGAGGTTAGACTGTGAACACAGAGTATCAGGTAAAGGAGTCAGCAATGAGAAGTCACTGAACAGAATAGGACACTGTGGTTCGACGTGCACTTTAGAAAACTCTCTGAGGCTGCTGAGGGAAGATGGATGGGAAGGGACAGGGTTGGGTAGTGCAGGGAACAGGAATAAATGGGTTGGAGAGGAAGGAATGGATGTAGGCACTGAGTGTGAAGCAAAGGTATCAATTTGAGAAGTCACCTGACCTTCGTCTGGCATCCGAAGGAGATTTTTGGCTGGAAAGCAGTTGTTCAGGTAAGGCTTCCCATTATCCAGCTTGTATATTCCTGAGGAGGCCATCTCCCTGAGAGTCAAGCAAGGAAAGTGAGGAAGTAGCAGCACTGAGAAGGGGCAGCATAGTTCTCTCACCCAATGTGGCCTGTGAGCCCACCAGGAGGACCACCATACCCTACATCCACCTTAAGTCCGAGGCCCAGGAGGCCCCTCCCCTGTTTCAGAAATGGGCTGGCCCTTTGAATGAAGAGGGAGACCAAGGCCCAGGTTTTTGGTTCAAATCAGTCCTAACTCAGTGGAACACTATACAGAACACCTTTGGATACAGACAGACCTGGTTTGAATTCTGACTGTCTTCCCTCACTCTTATGACTGGGAATGTTCCTCTACCCCTCTGAGCCTCAGTTTTCTCCCCTGTAAATTGGGAGTAATAACACCTACTTTAATAGACAGATGAGAGGATCAAGTTATAAAGGTAGTGCTCAGTACATATTAAGTGCTCACTAGAAATGTCGTTTGTTTTAACAGATTTCAGGGAAGAGGGCGCTCACGTTTTTAGGCAAGATGTTGTGAAAATAATATTTGAGAGATGAACTGAGTTTGCTAGTAAAGGATAAGCATTCCAAACAAAAAGGGCCACAGGACTAAGGGCATAGTAGTGGGCACATTTGGTGCAGTAAAGAAACAACCTGATCCAGGAAGGAGAAGGATGTGTGTTTGGGAGTTTGGGACAATAAGGCTGGACAGAAAGGATGGTGTCTGCTCTTGAAGGCTTTCAGTGCCAGGCTAGGAGCTCAGGCTTCCCCTGGTAGGTAACTTGAAAGCCATGGATGGTATCTGAGCTGGGGAAAGCCATGACCCAAGCTGTGCTTTAGAAAGAGAGGTCTGACAAAAATAATGCTAGGTGAAATGGGATTCCATCAACTGGTCACTGAGTCAAGACAATTCCAGCTCAGGAAAACTGTTCTAATGTAATTTTCTCTATCTCTCACTGTTTTCATTAAATCTTTTACCATCTCCCACCTAGAATACTGCAACAGTCTTCTAATCAGATTCCCACTGAGCAACCTGAGCCTGCTCTTGAAGGCCTCTGGAGTCCCATGTCCTAACCCTTCTAGCTCCAGTCAGCCCTGCCCATCAGGCTTACAGAATCATTTTCTATTCTCCAAACACATTCAGTCTTCCCTGCCTTTGTTCCTTTGGCCTAAAATAGCCTTCCCCATCATTACCTGGTTAATCTCATGCTTTAAGATTCAGCTCAGGGGCGCCTGGGTGGCTCAGTTGGTTAAGCATCCAACTCTTGATTTTGGCTCAGTCATGATCTCAGGGTTGTGAGACAGAGCCCCCCATTGGGCTCCACGCGGAGCATAGAGTGTGCTTAAGATTCTCTCCCTCCCGGGGCACCTGGGTGGCTCAGGTCATGATCCCAGGGTCCTGGGATGGAGCCCCATGTCAGGGAGCCTGCTTCTCCCTCTTCTCCCCACTCACACACTCTATCTCTGTTGCTATCTCTGTCTCTCTCAAATTAAAAAAATAATAATAAAAAAGATTCTCTCCCTCCCCCTCTCCCTCTTCCCTTCCCCCCACCCTCTCTCCTAAAAAAAAAAAAAAAAAAGATTCAGTTCAAATGCTACTTCTGTTAGGAATAAATCAAAGATCTAAATTTCTTAAAACTTGAGCTCTTAGAGATTTGAGATTTTTCTCAAAGAGATCCAGCCAGCCAGGGGGTGCCTGGGTGGCTCAGTCAGTTAAGTGTCTGCCTTCAGCTAAGGTCATGATCCTGGGGTCCTGGGATCAAGAGTATGCTTCTCCTTCTTTCTCTGCCCGCCCCACCTCCCTTGTGCGTGCATGCCCTCTCTCTCTCAAATAAATAAAATCTTTATAAAAAAAGAAAAAAGAGATCCAGCCAGAGGCACCTGGCTGGCTCAGCTGGTAGAGTGTTTGACTCTAGATTTCGGGGTTGTAGGTTTGAACCCCACATTGGGTATAGAAATTACTTAAAAATAAACTCTTAAAAAAATAAAGAGATCCAGCCATTCCCAGATCTGCTTTGGAACAGATGCAGACAATTTGGGGTAGCAGATTTTTGGGAACCTGTAAGTCCCTGGCTGGGGCAAGGATGTGGTCCCTGAAATGGAGGGTCTGGAATGAGATTCAGTGAAAGGAAGGAGCAGAGAGATAGGATCAGGTGTCCTGGGAAAATGTTTTCTGCAAGTGACAAATATGCAAAGTAGAGTGGTGCAGTAGGAAGGGCAACAATTTTGGAGACAAGAGGCTTAAATTTGAGTCTAGTTTCTGCCACTAAGCTGAGTGACCTTAGGCAATCCCTTTACCTCTTTGTGCCTCAAATTTCTCACATGTAAAATGAAGATAAAAACCTGTGCCTTGGAAAATTATTTTAAGAATTAAATGAGGTAATAAATTTTTAAAAACCTTCTAGATCCAGTCCAGATGCCACCCTCTCCACAATGCCTTCACTGAACCTTCCAGAGGGAAATAACTGCTACTCTGGCTAAGCACTGGAGTATTTCTTCTATATCTCTTTCATGGCTGGAGCCCTTTCTACTTCATAAGTTACTAATAATCATAGAGGGGTTCCTCCAAGTCTGGAAACATACCCAATTCACCATCTCTCTTCCACCTCTGGAATGCTCAAAGGAAATAACCCATAAACATGTGCGAGCCAAATGAAGGATACGATGTACTCCCAGGGCCCAAGGGTCTTTATTCATATTTCTGATCTTCCTAACTAGACTCTGAACTCCTTTAAAGGAAGGAGAGTACCTATAGAGTTCATTTCTTTATTCCCAGTACCTAACACAGCACCTAGCACATAACAGATTCACAATTATCTGTGGAATAAATAGGTCATGTTGGTATCTCCTTTGGTTCAACACAGGGCACTGTGAATTTCCTGATCTGTTACCATCCCCAAAAGGGTTAATGCCCTTCCTGTATGTTCCCACAATACCCTATACTTCTCCTAGTATAGCGTTTATCACTTTATTATAATTGTTCCCCTTAACCAATTTCTCACCTGCCGTGGGTCCTATGATATCTTATTCACCTATGTAATTCCAGAGCCTAGCAATGAACCTAGAATTCACTAAAAATGTGTCAGGAAGGTGAATGGATAGAAGGACGGATGGATGGGGAAAGATCAATAGTCAGTCAATCTGTCTTTCAGGAAATCTCTCTTGTGACCAACCACACCTATCTGCTACATAGGTGAGTGAATGAATGAGTAAATAGCTGGCTGGGAAATGTTAGAGATGATGACTGTTGGGAGAAGACTTCAGTAACTTACAGAATATGAGGACCTTGCTTCTGATCTACATAGTACTTACTTGATCTTTGACCTTGGGAAAGACCCCTTGACTTCCTTTTTTTTGTGTTTCTTCACCTGTAAAACAGATATTACACTCCTTCTTAGCCTGTCATTCAGAGCTCTTGAACTTTCTCATTAGTTACATCCTACTGTGACCCTTGCCTCCAAAATGTGTCTCAGCTGGGGCCTAAAAAACCCCCACAAAACTAAAGATCCCAGAAATAGATAACTAGAGATGTAGAGATAGAGACAGAAACATGGATGGGAGGAAGGTAGAACAAGGGAGTAATTTTGTGATGATGGGGTGGGGCTAGAGTGATTAAATAACATGTGCAAATCAGAAATCAGGAAGGATCTTTTATAGGATCATTAATACAAAATAAATCTATGATAAAACAGCAAAGACAGAATTGAAAGATAAGACACAATCTGGGAAAAGATATTTGCTCTACATATATAAAAGATGAATCAGACTCAGACTTGTGGAGGGCATATAGACTCGGACACAATCCACTGGGAAATTCCAGTTCCCAATGAAGAATACCAGGTGAGAAGGTGTGGATATACAATTAATGAGCTAGGAAGGGCACACAATCCTGATGTTACATTGTCTAGAAAGTAACCCTAAGGAAGGTATGAACTTTATCTGCATGGTGGAAAAAAGAAAGTCCAAGTTCCAGACTTAGAGGCTGCCTGCCTAGTTAGCTTCAGCTACCTCGGGTCTCTATCTCAAACTTGAAGAAGCTAATCTCAGTCTAATTGTAATGTCTCCCAGCTCCAACACACACACAGAGTAATGGTGCTCATTTGCATACATGTGCTGCTCCATTCCTTTGGCCTATGACACTTCTCTCACTTCTTCTTTGCCTGACTCATACAGACAGCTTTCCTGTATCTCCCCTCCTCAGGTTGACCCTTCTCTGTGCTACCATCTCAGCCCACCTCTTAATGGAAACACTCTACCACACTGTAGTACAATGGCCTGCTTACCTGTCTGTTCCCCACTCCTCACACCCCCAATCCCAGGCTGTGAGCCCCTCAAAGGCCAAGCCTAGGTCCTACCTATATCTTTATTCCCAGCACTTCATACAGGATCTGGCCCATTGAAGCAGTTCAATGAGTGTTTACTGAACTAAACTGAACCATAAACACAATGCCATGGAGTTCTTCATTCTGTCTGCAAAGAAGGAAAAAATAAGGATCAGGAAAGGTTTCAGAGCAGGTGACATTAGAGCTGGGTCTTGAAAAATGAGATGGATAGTATAGAAGATAAACAGCAAAAAGCTATTGGAGCATCTGACTGGATTGATTCACAGAAGTGAAGAAATCCCATCTAATAGTAGTTAGTGATAATTATTATCACACGAATGTTAGCTTCACCAAGACAGGTATTTTGCCTAGATTTTATTATTTAGGAATATATCCCCAGTGCCCAGAAGAGTGACTGCTACATAGTAAGCACTCAGTATTTATTCAATATTTTGACACTTAGGAGGTATTTATGGTGATTAAAAAACAAACAAGTGATGCAATGTAAGAGATCATGGTATAATATAATCCCGTCATGCGATAACTCTAGGTCACTAGAGTAGATGTTCCAAGAGAGTAGTGAACAGGTCTCTCTTGATCTTCCAGTACCCCTTAGTACTTCTGAGCAATGTTCGTTGGTGCTCAATAAATATTTGTGAAAAAGGGGTGCCTGGGTGCCTCAGTTGGTTGAGCAGCCGACTCTTGGTTTTAGCTCAGGTCATGATCTCAGGGTGGTGAGATCAAGACCCCTGTGAGATCAAGTCCCGTGTGAGATCGAGCGCCCAGTCGGGTTCTGCTCTGCGCGTGGAGCCTGCTTAAGTTCTCTCCCCCCGCCCCGCGCACTCTCTCTCTCTCAAAAAAAAAAAAAAAAAAATTGTGTAAAAAAATGAATTAATGAAAATCTAGAATACTATTACATCCTAAAACGATTAAAAACAGAGTGGCAGAGGGAACATACCAGGGGATTAAAACCCCCTGGCTTCTTAACCAGATTCTGATACATGCTATCCGGCCTTGGGTAAATTTCTTAGTTTTCTCTTCTGACTGGGCTGTTAAGGGACTACATGAGAAGATGAATATAAACGTACACGGTACACAGCCTTTCAGACGGTAGACACTCAGCAAATATGAGTTCTCTGTAACACGAAAACATTACTAACACCTTAGTTGACAGTCACCAGAGAAAATAACCAGTAAGTGCTGTAAAAGGGCTAGGACGGATGAAGAACGAGCTCCTGCGGCCCTTTGGAAACTTTTAGGGCAACGGAGACTCTAATCCCTCACTCATACTAAGTTTCCAGCCGCACCTGCCTCCGTCGTCGCTTCCGCCTCCGAGGCGTCCGCAGAGGCTGCGTCCCGGCAACGCGAGATGCGCGCCTGCGAGACTCCCGGGGATCTCGGAGCCGCTCCACGGTGGCGCCTACCACTACCTTCTCCGCTCCTTGGCAACCGCGAAGCGGCGGCAGGCCGTGTAGGCAGCAACCGGTGGACGCTGCTTCTAACTACTATAAGTCCCGGCAAGCCCCGCGGCCACTTCCGCTGGTCGCCTCTCGTCAGCTAGCCCCGGACTACGGATCCCGACGGACTCCGGGCGGCGCGTCACGCCGTCAGCTTCAGCCAATCGGCTTCGGACAAGTAGGAGGGGAGGGAGACGCAGAGGCAGAGAAGATGGCGGCGGCGTCTGCACAGGGCGGGAGGATTGGTGGTGGCGGAGGCGGTAGTGGGGCCGGCGGTGGTCCCAACTGCGGGACAGGCAGTGGCCGCAGCGGCTTGTTGGACAAGGTGAGGAGCCTGTTCTTGGGGTCGCCGAGACCTGGGGAGGCCCGGGAGGCGGCGAACCCACCTTCCCATCCCCGCCCCCCTTTTCTTGTGTGGCTTCTCAGCGGGTAGACCTCGTCTGGTCCTTCCTCGGAACCCTACCGGCGCATGTAGTACGGTCTTTCCACACCTCTTTCCTCTTTTCTCTTCAGGCCTTCTTTTCTTCTTGGTAGTGTGCTTGGTCCTTAACGCTGGCCATCACAGCTTCCTAGGATAATTTGATTATTCCTGTATTTCAATGCAGCCGTCACTTTTCCTCGGAGGTGCTGGGGGGCCACAGTTGATGTGCCCATTTCACTGACGGGGAAAACAAGCCCGAAGGAATGAACGCAGCTATTCGTAGTCAGTAGTCCCCACACTCTCCATCACGACCACCACACTGGGTTTCGCTACAGTTTCCAAGTGCTCCTTGACCTTTTGCTTACTGAAGTTTCTAGGCGTTTTATCACGATACTCCGAATACTGAATTTATTTGAGTATTTACTTACCTTACTGAGCTGACAGGAAGCTTCTAAGATTTTGTTTTTCCCTCTCCTTCACCCTTCCCCTTCTTTTTGCCCCTCTGCCTGCCACCAAGTGCAGTAAGTGACTCGGATTCATGAGCTTGCTGCCTGCTCTAGTTAGCCTCTTTCCCTCTCCGCCCATCCATTCTTTTTTTTTAAACTGCGGTCGTAGCAAGGAGGCTTAAAGGAAAAGAAAAAAAGAAAACTGTGCTCCTCAGTTGGCTCTTCTTGCCCTTTGCAGAGCATCTTGGAAGAAACAATTGTATGGTGATGTACGTCCTAGTATTGGTTCTGCCTCTAATTAGCTAGCTGTGTGACCTTGAAATATGCTTGCTCTCCCTATGTTGCCACTGTAAAATGAGGGACTTTAGCCTAAAGTACCCTTAGTCCCTTCCAGTTCTCTCATTGTAGGGCCATGGGCCAGTTTGATGAGAAATGTTAAGCATGGGGGGCTATTAATATAGTAAGTAGGATTTTTTGCTGTAATGGAAAGCAGCTTTCAGACATCCTGTGCCTAACGCATGATAGGTGCCTAAGAAACAAATATGTGATCATATTGAGGGGTTCAGATCCAGGTCTTTTTGCTTCTGTTTTTGGGTGTCATTGGTTTTGAATCACATGGTTCTCAACTCTAACCATTTTTAAGAGAGGGGAACAAGTTCTGGGGATTGGAATGGTATATTGCTCCAAGACATGGGAGAGTATTGGGAATTGATGTTTACTTTCATGCATAAATACTGCCTTTCTGCTGGTGGTCATCTCACAGCCTCTGCTTATCCTGTCCCATTGACTGTTCTTGCTGTTTCCTCCGTTTGGATCATCACCAGCAAACATTAAGCATGGGCATTCTTTACTGAGTATATGGCATCATTGCATTATTCAAAGAACCTAGATTTGAGGATCAAAAGATACAGGCTTTGCTACTTTCAAACTGTATGAAGACTGGCAAGTCAGTTAACCTCACAAAGCTTACCTTCATCTGAAATAGTACGGTTTTGGGGAGAATCAAATGAGGTGATATACATGAATGATCTCTGTAACACATGTTACATACATATATGCAATAGCAGAGGGAAAAAAATCAAGAATCCTACTGTCAGAAAGTATTCAGTATAGCTGATTATAGGACACAGAGGTATCTCAAATATTAAAAGTATTTGGTGTATTCACGGGCGCCTGGGTGGCTCAGTCGTTAAGCGTCTGCCTTCGGCCCAGGTCATGATCCCAGGGTCCTGGGATCGAGTCCCACATCGGGTTCCCTGCTCCACGGGAAGCCTGCTTCTCCCTCTCCCACTCCCCCTGCTTGTGTTCCTGCTCTCGCTATATCTCTCTCTGTCAAATAAATAAATAAAATCTTAAAAAAAAAAAAAAGTATTTGGTGTATTCAGATGTGTGCTTTTTACAGAAATTGAAATGAGAGAGAGAATGATCCCTGAGATCTAATTGATAAGGGGGTGAGGGCCCCAGGGAAAGACCTCATGTCTGAGAGTGGAGCTGGGACCTTATTTTGGGAGAGAAGGATGGCATACTACCTAAGAATTTCCTTGAGCAGGTGGTGCCTGATGTTTCAGGTAGTGAGTTGACTGGACTGTTCTCTAAGAGACCTGTAGTGATATGAAGGTAGAATCAGATTAAAGAGGGCATGGATTGCTTGGAGTAGGAAGCTGTTGAAAGTTTTTGAGGCTATATAAAGTGGTTTTCAGAAAATTAGTTTGGAGAGGTAGAAATTAAAAGCTTTGAAAAAGGCCTTATACCATTCTAGTGTGTAGGGTTTATTATAAAAAGAAAGACAAAAAGTTCTAGTATAGTTTGTTAAAATCCACATGGCCTTGGATAGGTTACATGATGTTACTGAACTTAAATTTCCTTACGTAAATAATGTGGGTTCCCATATGTATTATGGACTTGTAAATATTAAATTGTACAATATTGGTTAAGTGTTCTTTGTGAACAGCTATAAAAATAGAATGACCAGGCAATGAGAACCCCAACTTGAGTAGCAGCAGTAGAGAAAAGGCCTCGCAAAGGAGCACTTGACGGAATTAACCAAGGTGTGAGGGACATAGAGGATAGAAAATAAGATCTTTTTAGGTGCTTTTTCTTGGAAAACTTCATTTTCGCTTTACATCAAGTTGTTCCTCCTCTGAATTCTCTAGCATTTATTGTGTATGGGAATTAAGCTGTCACTTATATGACATACTGTCTTATATTTTTCTACCAATTTGTATTTGTCCAGTTTCCCATGAAAGGTCCTTATAGTTCTCTGAGGCAATCAACACCGAATAAGTACTTGCAACATTAAATTTAGCAGAGAAAAAACCCCTCAGTCTAAAGAAACTGCCTCTAGTTGTCTGAAAGCTGAAGGTACTGTGGAAGAGAAGATGGGGAAAATGTTATTCTCAGGGGAACAGGATCTGAATGAATAGAGAAGCTTTTGCTCTTTGGGATTGAGAGGCTGTTATCTTACAATCTCTTTAATTTTATTTGTCTTTTTTTTTCGGGAGGGTTTTTATTTCCTGCAGCTGTAGTTTCACTTGCCATGAAGAAATGTAATAAACAGATGCAAATGTGCTTCAGTGTGCTTCTAGCTTTCCCTAAGCAGATGTGAATTTCTGCTCCTATGAAACTGACTTTGAGAACAAAGTAATTCTAGTTTCCTGATCTTAAAAATAGGTATGCAAATGTAATCTTCCAGCCTCCATCACAGAATAACTTAGATCATTGCAGTAAGTTATTTTGCCTATAATACATCAAAGCATTTTGTTCTACATAGCAGGCTGTAAAGAAAATTGCTTGCTTAATTGTTTTAGCTATTAAAATTGACGGGTGGTATTAAACCATGCTTTCCAGAACTATATCCAAGTCCTTTTAACCTTGTACATGGATTTCTGTCTCCTGGCTGGATTTGTTTAGGCTATTAAAATTGTTTTGGCTGTGAAAATGTGGTATTAAACTGTGTTCTTTAGAAGTTATATTCAGACCCTTTTAACTTCATACCTGTTTAACTTCATTTCTGTCTCCTGGCTGGACTGTCATCCTGATCCTAAAACAGAGCTTTTATATTTTAGAAGTTGAGAACACAGGCTCTGGAGCCAGCCTATCTGCCTGGCTTTGAGTCCTGGCTCTGCCATTTAGCAGAAATGTATTCTTAGGCAAATTAATAAATTTCTTTGTATCTTGGTTTCCTCATCTGTAAAGTGGGAATAATAAAATTTACCTTAAAAGGTGTCTGGCACTATGTCTAGCACATAGTAAGCACTTAACAAAATATATATATAGCTACTACTAACTAGCTGGTTACTCTGGGCTTCAGCTTCCTTAGATACATATTTTTTCCATTTCCATTTTTACATATATCATATAAAGGCACCAGACTCCATTGGGGTTTTAGTTAAAAATACAGATTTCTGGACCTCATCCCAAACCTGAATCAGATTCTCTGGAGCTGGGACCTGGACAGCTGCTTGTTTTTACACATAGCTGTTTATTTATTTCTTTTCTCTACATTTTAACAGTTACTTCCAGGTTGAGAACCCTCTTAGATTACTTTTTAAATCCCTTCTGGTTCTGATATATTAAGGGTTTTTTGTTTGTTTTTGTTTGGTTTATAACTGTTCTGCTTAATCAATAGTGGTTTCTCTAATGTTTATAATGAAGAGATTTTGAAATTCATCTGTTCCAGCATCCTCATTTTATAGACATGGACACAGTTGAAGAGGGGAAGATGAAGCACCTTGCCCAAGATGAGACATTGAGTTAGTTACAGTTCCAGAACCTGGCTTCCCATTCTTTCTTAATCCAGTGCTCTTAGCTTACTTAGTACATTGCCTCTCATACTAGAGCAGGCCCTGTGCTAACTACTGCAGTAGTGGAAAGAACATCTGTTTTGAGGTTGGAAGACCTAGGTTCAAGCCTTGGCTTTGTCACCCATCAACTATGTGTCCTTAGACAGGTCATGTATCTCCTTTTGCTGTCTTCAGTGGTATCTTAGCTTAGATTTCTGGTTGGTATGCCTGAACCCTAACCCACCTCTGACAAAGAAGATGAACAGTTTTATGGCATTGCTGTAGTTTGTGTGTGTGTATATGTTTAAGGAAACCAGGTGCTGGCTTTTTTTTTTTTTTAAGAGAGAGAGCACATGACGGGGGGAGGGTCAGAGGGAGAAGCAGACTCCCTGCTGAGCAAGGAGCCCGATGCAGGACTGGATCCCAGGACTCCAGGATCATGACCTGAGCCAAAGGCAGTCACTTAACCGACTAAGCCATCCAGGCGCCCCAAGGTGCTGGCTTTTTAACATTGTTTTGCAAACTAAACTTTAATAACATCTCAAAACTCATTATTTTTTACTTCATCAAAATTAAAAATTCTTGTGTCAAAGGACACTATTAAGAAAGTGAAAAGATAGTCCATAGAATGAGAGAAAATATTTGCAAATCATATTTCTGATAAGTGTCTACTGTC